CCTCCACTACCAATGTCCGCCGATAGTGCTCCAAAAGCGCTCGTTCACCCAGAAAATAGTCGATACCCTCTGTTCCATTCGAGTCACCACCGGGACGGATATAGCGGTACAGATCACTCAAGCTTCGCCCTGTTGGACGCTTTGAACTCCAACCAGCCGCACTTAGAACTCGCCAAACAGATCCAAACATCACATGGTCATCCGCGAGGTCTGTATGCCGGTGGACACGCGTCAATATGATACCTTGCTCGAGCGCTAGGTAAGCAACGGATCGTACCTAGACCGGTGGGAGCTGAAGGTGAGATAAGACCCGAGCGTCGTGATTGTTGTCGCTTAGCTGTGGGCTCGCAGGTGCTCGACCGCTGCTTCCGCTTTCGTGGCATTGGGTATGTGGTGGTGGACGAGCTCAGCTAGCGTACCAGTGGCTCCTTCACGGCAAAGATCTCTAACTGGTTTGCATGCATCGGTCTCGCTTGAGCCATTGGACCAAATATATTGTTATTTGTATGGCCATGTTCGAAGTGTTCAAAGGGACCGAACGTACTAGGCTTTGTATGGGGTGGTTCGACTCATCGTTGTATGTGATGTTAGTATGGTGGAGTTTGAACCCACCGGTGCAGGTTCAATGCCCGCCATGCGGAATGCAGCGTAGCTGTGCTGATAAGGTACCGTGCAAAATGCATCGGATATCGAGTGCGGGATGAATACAGTGTAATTACACAGAGTCATGAATAGTACGAGTACTCAAAGCGTTCAACGGTAACATACGGTACTTAGATTTACTCCAGTATTGCTACCAAATGTAAGTGCTGTAGCGGCTTCGGTATCGTCTCCACAGTTACGTTGACCCATGCAAGCCCCATAGTGACGGTCCGAACTACGGTACACGGCGACAGTGGTGACGCCCATCGTAGATACACTGCTGCCAAGTGCCAATGCCGCCTGCGTGTCCCTGTCGCTGGGCAAATTGGGCGCTTGCGACGTCGTCGTCATGGCGACTTCAGGCTCCATCTTGACCCCCGATGGGACTCGAACGCTCCATTTCTAGCGGTAGCCTCTCTTGATCTTTGTCGCCGGTGGCACCCCGCTCCCTCCTGAGGCATCTACGTGCGGTTGTCCGTCGATGAGGATCGCTGGAAGCGAAAAAGGGCGGGAGAACGCCGTCCACCTGCAGGTCTAGTGGGCAGTCGTCCAGTGCCGCCTCCGACGCTCCATCTCGGGGTCCTGTAGCGGAATCTCGGCGTCTCGCAGCTGAACGTGGTTGACAGCCACACCCGGCGGCAATGCCGTGAGGAGAGTTGGGGGCTACGGGACAAACGACACCATCCCAGCGCCAGTTCTAGTAGCACTGCGTTATCGACAACAAATGCGCTGTTGCGGCGGTTGTGCGGGACGTGGTCGTCGGGTGGGTACACGACGGACAGCGAGTCCAACTTCATGCCCGGTGCGTCCCGAGGTCAGCGCGTCAAGTAGCACAGGCGGTCAGCAGCAGCAGATGCGTCGACACACAGGAGCTGAGCGTGTGGCGACTCCAACGACGCTGGACTTGGAGAGTGAGGGGCGAACTGGCAGGCTGGACTTGACCGCAGCGTGCATAGTATCACGGGCAGCCACGCGCCGTAAACGATGGGTACGGCCAGCACATGTGTACCACCGTCGTTCGAGGCGTGGAAACCGGAAGAACGGAGCGTGGTCAGCCAGGGACACTTGGGATCGAGCTTGCAAAATCGGAAATGAGCTCCGATGCGAGAAGGTCATTTTGATTCGGAGCAAGCCGAGCAAGCCGACCAAACAACAGTGGATCGATTTGAACTAATTCCACCAATCACACTTCTTGTTGAACTTTGGCAGCCAATCACTGTCATCGATTTTTCGGAGACAGGTTTTGATTGGTCAAAGCGAAGACATGGAAAAAAATGTCAGCGCGGGAAAGCTTGAAAAGATCAACCAAAGCAAAATGGGCACCAAAAAGGCGAGCCTTTACATGTTGTGTAAACCACTTCAAATACCAATAGTCTATTTATGTGACATTATGTATCGCGACCGCTCTACCCGTTCTCCCTCGCCGAAACGCCCTACCATCGGCATTCCCCCAATCATGGTCTTGATGGACCTGGTCGGAAACGTCTCCGCCGTCGGCGACACGGATGCGATGGTGGCGGGCGACTCGGGCAGCAAGCACAACGGCGGCCGCAGCGCCGCCGTGTGTGCCGTCAACAGCATGGTCTCGGAGGCTTCCGCGGCGACCGTGGCCGTGTTGGATGTGATCGGGGGCGTCTCCTCTGGCATGGTCACGAACGCGACGGTGGCATGGTCACGAACGCGACGGTGCCATTCGGCTCGGGCAGCGAGCGCAACGACAGCGGCAGTCCGCACGCAGGTTGCCGCC